CATGTAAATGCTTAGCAGGCATGCAATAAAAGCTAGCAATGACAATGAGGAGGAGGTATAGGAGGGGAAGGAGGAAGAGAACAGGAACAGATGTTTTTTGATGTGGTTTAAATAGAATTTTAAAGCTAAATAATCCAAATGACATGTTATCGTATAATAATCTATCACCTATGACATCCATGACCATGGGAGAGGGTCAGAGAACTCTGGGTTAGTCTTTTGAGAAACGCAAAGAAAACATTGGCAATCCCAGTGAAAGTTCTTTGGAATTAATCAGAGAGCATTACCCCCGAATATAATTGGTGTACATTATCAGGCATATATCAGTACATAGTTCAGGTGCCTGTCCTTAAAAAAAGACAAAACAAAAAGGAAGGTATGGAAAAAGAAACTGAAATCAGAGAGTGCCAGAGAAAGGCATAAGTTAGGATATAGATGTAACAGAGGACTGTCATTAAGGCAGATTCAAATGAATAGGACAACAAAGATTAGAAACACAAAGGCTGAAAAGGATTGTGTTAGTTAGCTTTTTATTGCTATGACCAAAATACTCAATGAGAACAATTTAGAGGAGGAAGTTTATTTGGGCTCATAGTATCAAAGGTGGGCTGAGTATAGTGCTCTAGGCCCAAGGTGAGGCAGGACGTCATGGTGGATGGTCCAGGAGAGGAAAGCTGCTCCCCTCATGACTGGCCAGGAAGCAGAGGGAAAGTGGAGAAAGGCTGGACACAGTGGCACACGCCTGTATTACCAGAAGCTCAGGAGACTGAGGCAGGAGGATTGCAAGTTCAAAGCTAGCCTCACCAACTTAGTGAGGCCCTAAGCAACTTATCAAGGCTATTTCAAAATAAAATATAAGAAGGGGCGGGGATGTGGCTCAGAGGTTAAGTGCCCCTGAGTTCAATCCCTGGTACCCCAAAGAAAAGAAGAAAGTGGGGAAGGTGTTACAGAAAAGAACAACCCTTTCCAGGGCATGCCCCCTGTGACCACTTCCTCCAGCCACCTGTTCTGTTACCATTCAAGCTATGATGCACTAATTGGGTTAGAGTTCTCACAATCCAGTCACTTTACCTCTGAACATCCTTGTAATAACACAGGAACTTTTCAGGTATACTTCATATCCAAACCATAAGAAGGATATATTAAATATTTTTATGATGTAAAGATCTGGATAAATCTTGGAAAACCAGAAATAAGCTCTACCCTAGAGCTTGAAAGTGACACATGTATAAATAAATATAAGAACATACTATTTTACCACTGCAATGCCTATGCCTGGGTGATATTCTTAGGCCAATTACATATCAAGAATGTTGAGACCATAAAAGGCCATGCTTGACATCAGGTTAATTTAAAAGGATAAAAGGTCAGGAAAAAAAAGCATGCTAATAGCATAGCCACAGATTTTTGTTTTCCTTGAAAATCCTTACAATAGTTTTGGGACTGAAATTTGGCCCCTCAATGACAGTTCAGATCAAGAGAATGAGACTGCTATGGGTGGATGCAGCAGGCACCCTAGCTTGGAAACCATATCTCAAATTGAAAACAATACCCTGTGAAAGTCTTAGCTTCTGGGTTCCTGAAAAGAACATGCCTGGTTATAAGAGTTCTCTTGCTCAGAGCAGCCCAAAGCTATTGCTTCTTATCAGGTATTTATAGTTCCTCTCAGTGCAGACTCAGCTTACCCATCAAATATCATTTTATCATATTATCATTTTACCATAGCAGGGACACTGGTGACACAGCTGACATCCACTTTCATTAGTTTTCTAATGAACTGAGTGAGGAACAGCTTAACTCAAGGACAATTTCTCGTGTATAAGGAAGAAATTTGTTAAACTTTTACTCTGAGGTATCATGAATATTAAACAAGTGTTTTACTTCTAAAAATAGTACGAGCAAGAAACAGAAATGAGGGGCTGGGGCTGGGACTCAGTGGTAGAGTGCTCATCTTGCATGTGTGAGGCCCTGAGTTCAATCCTCAGCACCACATTAATAAAAATAAACAAACAAACAAACAAATAAATAAATGTTAAAAAAAGAAAGAAATAGAAATGAATCTACAGTGGTACAAAGTAGCTTTTTTAGAAATAAATAAAATAAATAAATAGTCTATAAAGTTGCCTTCACAAAAAAAAAAAAAAAAAAAAAAAAACTTCTGCTCAACATTATAATCCATAAGACTGCTGTTAGGATCAGCTGTTAGTAAGGGATGAAGGCTCTCTCTGCCTTCTTTCTGTACAGTTTCTTTGTAAGTCAGGATCAGAGCAGGGACTGTTTTGCCCATCCCTGGTGTTTCTGCATTCTCATCTTTTATCAAAGCATACAATTAACATTAATTATTTAACTATAAGCCACCGTCTACCCAGTCTAGAGTTCAGTCTCCTCCTCCAAGTGCCTCATACAATTAACCAAGGTTCAGCAAATCATGAAATCACCTGAGAACACAAGATCAAGAAGTGGAAAAGCTTCAAGAGAATAGATCATACATAAAGGAAGAAGAAAAACATTTTCAAGCAGGAAGGCTAAAACATTTTTTAAAAATCTTTGGCCAGCCTCAGCAACTTAGTGAGGTCCTAAGCAACTCAGTGAAACTCCATCTCTAAATAAAATATAAAACAGGGTTGGAGATGTGGCTCACTGGCTAAGTGCTCCTGGCTTTGATTCCCAGTATCCAAAAAATAAAATACAATAAATAAATAAATACTATCTAGAAGAAAGAACTTTGAACGTTCTCAACAAAGAAATGATAAATGTTCTGAGGTGATGAGGATGTAAATTACCCATATTTAATCATTACACATTATATACATTTATTGAAATATCACATTATACCCTACATATATGTACAATTATGTATCAACTTTAAAAAAAATCAACATCATATCATCCTTTTCCAAAAAGTTAATGTAGTATATGATAATAAACTGTCTACAAACATGAAACCATAAACCAAGAAAGAGGAAGACACAGGAGCTAGGTTTGACCAAAGGAAAACAGTGAGGGAAATTCCCAGGAAGCCACTGTAGCTGTGCAGGAGAACCAGCGCACACTGTGTGCAGCAAGAATCAGATCCCCAAGGAAATATGGAGCAGAATGTCCCCTGATCTCTTTTATCATTTTGAGAGAAGACATTTGTTAGAAGACTCTGTAGCTGTGTTAGTGATTGCTAGACACCAAAAATCTAGAGCATAATGGAATAATAGTAATAAAATGTAATATTAATAAGAAACATAAATACTTCAAAAGAAAAACTGGCAAAAGATTTGCATAGGCACTTTACAAAACAGAAAATCCAAATGAACACTAAACCTATGAAACATACTCATTCTCAGTAAAAAAGGAACTACAAACTAAAACTGTAATGAGATGCCATTACAAAATTGGCAAAACTATTAAAGCTAGGATGTTAAGCAACAGGAATCCTTATACACTGTAGCCTGGAATGTAAAATGGTAGAACTCTGGTACGGTTTGGATATGAAATGTTCCCCCCAAAGCCCCTGTGTTAATGCAGAATATTCAGAAGTGAAATGGATGGTGAGAGCTGTAACCTCATCAGTCCATCCTAGTGTGAATGGACTGGGTGGTAACTGTAGGCAGGTAGGGGCGTGGAGGGAGGAACTGGGTCCCTTCTCCGACTTCCCTCTCTCTGTTTCCTGGCTGTCATTTGTGATGCAGCACTCCTCCACCACACCTTTCTCCTATGACATTCTATCTCACCTTGGGACCAAAGCAATCTCTGAAACTATGAACCAAAATAAACTTTCCCTCCTCTAAGTTGTTCTTGTCAGTATTTTGGTTATAGCGACTGCAAAGTTGATTAACATATACTCCAGGGTAAACCCTTTAAGGTATGAGACAGTTCATATAACAATTCCATTATTGCATAGACACTCTAGCGAAAGGCATATACTTATGCTTAGTTATTATTGAAATTATAATATTTGCTTGTGTGACAGTTTATTATCAATTAATTTCCTAGATGTAAGTAACACAAAAACAGGGTGTTGGCTCTTTAGTAAACTTTAGTGTCTAATGCCATGAATCATATTAGTCATTCAAAAAATATTTATGGAACCAAATTTGATCAGAAAACAAATAGCAATAGAAAATTTAACCAAAATCTTTTTGGAAAGGACAGGAAGCAAAAGTTCATAGACCTGTAAAAAATTTTCAATCATACTAGTAATTAGAGAAATAAAAATAAAAATGATGAAATACCAGTTTGCTATAAAAAAGACAAACATTAAAATAATTTTAATATTCCAAGCTGCAAAAGTGTAGTGAGACAGATCCTCTCACAGGTCACTTGTGGAAATATATAATGATATACAGATGCATAAATTGTACAATGTTTCTGGAAAGCAATCTAGCAGCCTATGTTGAATCTTGAAGATATACATAATCTCTGATGGCAAAACCAGTAAAATTCCAGTTATAACACTAAAAATATAATTTGAAAACGTGAGCTAAGATTTATTTATAAATAGTTCATTAACCATGAATTGATAAAACACTGAAAATAATCAAAAGTGGCAACAATGGGATAATAGTTAATATATTTTAGGATATCTACAATGCAGGCCAGATAGGTACTAAAGTGTACGGTTCAAAGAACTGATGATACCACAGAAAAATTTTTCACAATCTAAATGTTAAGTAGAACAGAACAGAGAATTGTTTGGGTATGATCTCAATTCTATTAATGTGTGTGTTTAATACATACAGACACATATGCACACACAGGAATGCAACAATTGTTACATAAAATTATAATCAGGGAATTACAAATTGAAACTATACTGAGATGCCATTACAAAATTGGCAAAACCATTAAAACTAGGATGCAAAGCAATAATAATTCTTATACACCATAGGCTACATAGTTTAAGGAAAGGACTCACTGTTGTAGAGAGTTCATAGCAAGGTTTGTTAAATTACAGCTTTTCTGCTTCAGTACTTAAAAAAAAATAATAAATACCTTCATTTACAACTTACCAGATCAATATTTTGCATTATATCCTGAAATGAAGGATGAGTTCGAAACTGTTCAAAGAGATCGCGTTTGTAAAGCAGTGCATACACCAAGTTTGGGTTGTGGTGGAGAGAATTTGTCAGGCAGGAATTGATGATCTCCAACATCATTCGAATCACTTCTTCAATGACATTGAGGTCCTGTGCCTATGAGAAAGTAAACCCCAACACAGAGTCAGTGGTTTCCTCCTTGCTATAGAAGTAATCAAAATTCAAGTAATTATTTAAAACTAGAGCAGCATTAAAAAGATCTTGTAGGAGAGCTGTTCATGGTTATTTCTATCAAGAGTCTTTAGAATTTTTTTTCTTTTTAAAAATTAATTTAGTTACTCTAGGTAGGTATATATGACAACAGAATGCTAGAATTAGTTTTAGAAGTTACTAAAGGATTTGAATTAAAATTGTTTGATCTTATTATGGTGATAATTAGGAATCTCATATAATAAATATGAATAAATGATAAGAGTCACCAATTTAGAGCTTACTCAGCTTCAACAGATCCTCATTTTCAATCTTATCCTAAATCATTAGACTTTCACAATGTAAATTAGTAAAGGGGGGTCTTACTGTTTCCCAGAAAAGTTCCTAAATCAGAAAGTAACCTCAGTTTTCTGTACTGTCATTTCAACCATTATATTTACAGATAAATAGCCTGTGGTTTTGTCACTGTTTCTTAGAGTTAGCAGTCTTTGGGAATCTGAATATAAAATGATTTGCCAGCATCAAAACTCAAGGTAAGCAATGAGCAAGTTTTTTAGTGAAAGATCTAGCCCAGCTCCCAGCTTCCAGCAGGAAAGTGGCCCAGTGTGGTCCTGGCACCTTGGAGATCTCCAGAACTCTTGCTTGCAGGAGTAGGCTGAGCTCCCAACCACTCCTACTGCCTGCCAGGCCCAAGGCTCAGCAGGTTCTCTGGAGCACCCCGGCTCCCTGCTTTGAGAGCTTTTTCTGTTTTGGGTTCATCAAGAAACATCCCTGTCATTTTTAGGTGTGGCTATGTATTTTAAATGTTTCCTTATTATGATTCATCTATCATTGGTATGTTTTTATTGCAAAGGGGAGGAGATCAGGCTTCAAATTTGAAACTGACAACATAATCTAAACTGTAAATTCTCTTAATTGTATTTTCATCTCACCTAGTGTTCGAATGACTAGTGGAGGAGAAGATATGGAGTTTCAGAATTTTCTCTCAGGTCATTTAAAAGCAACTCAGTGGGATAGTATGACTACTTCAGAAACAAAAGTTGGCCAAAATACTAGCTTCCTGTAGAATTTTATGTTAATAAATATTTCATATACTTATTTATGTTAAGTCTAATATATTAAATTTATGTTTACAGGATTATCTGGTGATGGATTACAATTTCTACTTTCAAACACATCATTTATTCTCAATATTTAATTAAATACTTTGCTGAAGCAAAAAGGAAAACATACCCAACCCTCAAACAGGACCTGCTCATTTAAACCAAAGCTAAAATATTGACCATTTATTTCATTCCTAAGTCAGGAAAGTATAAACTGAAAACTTTAGATCAATATGCAATGCTCTGCATTAATTTTTACTTTGCATCAATCTGACTGAAGGCTCTTTAAGAATTATATTAACCCTTATATATTTAAAGGCATTTCTAGATATCTTATTTAACTTATTTTGTTTCTCTAACGTAAGTTCTAATGCTACCTTTTATAGACTATATTCAGCTACAGTTATGTAAATTGAATGACAAGAACATATAGTTTCTAATGTTATTCAAATTGAAAATGTAATGTGGGAAGATGTAGCAATGATATTTTATATAATATTAAATTTAGCTGTATTGTCATGATAAAAGGCACTTCTATATTTTCATGCTGTGAAACAAGGTAACAAAAATGAAAAATTATACACAATTAAGAACACTAAGTTAAACTTAAAGAGGAGCTGGTTACATTTTCTGTCAAAGTCTATTTTAACATATAAACTTATAATTTAGGTTATTAAAATTTCAACACAAAGACTTTCCAGACCTCAGCACAACTATCCTTTTTATGAGATAGGGTCAGTTTCCTTCCTGGATATACCCAGGGGTGAAATTCTAAATATTTAACAACTAGTAGACACTGTTAGTTCTATTAGATGGGGCTGTACACAACCCGAGCAGCCCCACCAACTTGCAACAGCTGGGTGTCAATTACAGTTATTTTCACAACTACTCTCAAAGGAACGATTCCTTGAGAAATTAAATGAGATTACTTGAAGTCAGCTATCTACATTGATTAGTTGTATTATGTTCTAAACATAGTACCAAAAATTGCTACATGTATCTTTCATTCAATTTAGTAATTCTTTAGTTTAATTCTGATTTAGAAAGTTTAGAATTTGGTCAAAGAATCATAACCTCACAAAACATACTCAACACTAGACACTAAAGCTACGTCCTTTAGAGCTAGAGTCTCTTTCCTTCTATAATGTTCATTTCAAGTATACCAGCTTATCCTTGAATACAGAACATATAATATTGTAACAAATTCATTTTCATTTTTAAGTAACAACCACTACTTTAATTATCCTTAAGAAATAAAGTGTTAACCACTACTTTAAATATTTTTAAGAAACAGCCAGAGTTCCTACAGTGCAAGTTGTTCCTAGAAACCATGCTCTGTGGTCCTTCCATTTCTGTTGGAAGATCATTTGTAGCTTTAAGATATCAAGGAGACTGTGAAATAATCATGGGCCAAAGGGGTAAACTATGTTTACCAAAAATAAGATAATCAACCTTTTGGCTAATTTTAATTTCCAAGAAAAATTATCAAAATAAATATAATCTGTAAGCTATTTGAGTCTTTAAGTTGCTACTATGACTAGATTCTGGTGCAGGTCACTACTGGATATGGCAGTTAATCATATCTTTTATGTTTCATTTTAAAAAAGCATTATTGGGCAATAATGACCACTTGTAAAATGATAAAAAACTAGAACAAATTGATTAGAGAGTTTTTAGAAAAACTACAAATTCATCCAAATTTCAACATATAAATAGACTTAAAGAGTTGTCCAATTTAATCATTATTTGGGTGCCAACATTTCAAATGGTATTTAACATTTTTTTCCCCCTTTTGGTGCCTGGGGATTGAATGGAGGGCTTTGCACATGCTAAGCATGAACTCTACTGCTAGCTATGTACCAGCCCCCATTTAATATTTTTTTAAAAATATTTTTTAGTTGTAGTTGGACACAATACCTTTATTTTATTTATTTTTATGTGGTGCTGAGGTTTAAACCCATGGCCTCGAACATGCTAGGTGAGTGAGTGCTCTACCACTGACCACAACCCCAGCCCTCAATTTTTTTTTTCCCAAGAAGCTTAAATGAGGCTGTATTTGTAAAAACCCTTAAAGCAGTGTGTAACACCAGGTAAGCACCATGTGAATATGCTCCAAAATAAAAACAAAAATATTATTAAAGTACTTTAAAATGGAAAAAATCACTGTAACTTTAGACATTATTACAAAAAGAACAAAAAAAAATGTCTTTCTAAAGTTGCTCCACTAATATAATTACCATAAATGCCCAAAACTCAGAAGTCACATTTCTAAGTCTTAAATTTGAGTCACAATTTTTACTTTTATTTATAAAACCAGTCTTTTAGAAAACCCTATGCAGAAAACTGCCTTATAGAATAAAATAAGGTTTTATAAAAATTATATGCTTTTAAAAGTTAACCATGTATTCTCTGAGCTGTCAAAATTAGTTTTGTCAGAGATAAAAATCTCATTGACAGAGCAACAAAATATGGAGAGATAACAAGATATGTGTTACCTCATCTATTGTACTCATGGTCTTTTCTTTTTAGTACATATGGCTTCCGTGACAGGAATAAGGTCTAGATTAAAAAAAAAAAGACTCCCATTTCATGTTTTATTTGAACATGTTGGGAATGAAAGCCCAACAAATTCTATGTTAAGTAGTAATTTAATATCTAATAGACAAGTTGGCAGTTGTGGGAATATTTTATCTAGTTAACAGCACTCAGAATGAGTGCCTTTCATTCTATAAACTTCCTTTTCCTTTTAAGAGGGAATTTATACAGTTAAATAGTTTCAAATCATTTATTTTTAGTTTCCTTAGGAGGAGCATATGTATCTTGTTTGTATTAGTTTTGGGGGGATTCCAAGAGAGTTGTCTAAATTTCCTGCATTTTCAGCAGAAAATAAAACCTTCAACAAAATTAATAGGACTTTGCCAAAGGCAGGGAGCAGGAGGAAATGTGCAGGCAAGGGTCTTTTTAAAGTCACTGAGCCACTGGCCTTCAAAGGCAATCCTCCGGTGACAGACTTGTTATCTTTATGTTGTTAATTCACTGGCACACACACTGCAAAGCTTTGTGACCATGTTATTTGTAGCCAGAATTGGATTTGTCCCAAAATATCAAGCTTCTAACTAGCTTTGTGTTACATACAAAATCACAGCTGAAGAATAGATCCTGTGACCAACTTAGACAATGGGTAAACTTCATCAAGAGGTGGGAGGGGCAGGTGGAGAGAAGAGAGCAGTGTTTTGGCCCCACTGTTCCTGCGAGGGAGTGGAAACCAAGCGGTCTTCACTCACTCTTCCTGGAGCCGAGGATCCTCCACTAGGACCCTGGGAAGTGGCTATTTACAAGACACTGCTGTGCAGGCAGTGGTGGCACGGGACAAGATAATGGTGGCCACCAGGGCACTGACTAAGTTTGCACGTTTTCCCACATCTGGAAAATTATCAAAATCCAATGAAGCTGCAGTCCCCAACAATTAGATTACCTCAGCAGATCATGGCACAGAAAAGCAGGTACGAAATAGTGCTGCCCACCCTTCCCCAGGCCCTTCTCCCAGAAGGAGAGACTAAGTATACACCAGAGCCTGGCATTTTTCGTTTTTTAATTTAAATGCTTTAAGAATTAATGTTCATTTTCATTCTTTTAAAAATGTATTAGTATTTTATCATAAAAAGAAATACCCTTTCATGTTCTATAAAAGGTAAAATGGTACTCTGGGAAGATATGCTTTTTTTTTTTTAATGGATTTGACTTCCTACTGAGTGCCTCCATTTACTCCAACTTAGGTCCCAGTGTCCCAATTGGGTCCCAGCTCTGCTAATAACTAGCTTTGTGACCTTTGGTAAGTCACTT